AAAATACATATCAGTTCGTAGGATTCCCGTGTAATTTGACACGAAATATCCAACAAGTAGTAATCGTGTCCCATTTTTTTACCTATCCCCAACGATCCTCTCTAGAGTTCTAGCATTTCTAAAGCATGTCTATATCTTACATAACTGGTCCAAACACTCGAATCTTTGAGAATCCAAGAATATTTGAGTTACTTAAATCTAAATTTGAGTTACATAAACTTCATGTCTCCTACATTTCAACTATAAAGTTAATTTTAATTCGTCCTAAAATAGTTTTGAGTTTTTATTCTAAATTTTCATTTACAAAAAAGTCGATTCAAAAATAATTTTTTCTTGAGTATCTAAAATAAAAAATTAATAAAAAAAAAAATTACATGGCACGTAGGAAAGAAACACAATCTAGAAAAAATATTCTCAAAATAAAAGTAGAAATGTATTGGGTCTTGTTGATGTGTCAACAAGAAAAAAGATTCAGGCCACCTTATGTCTATTTTAAACTTAATTAGAGACTCGGTCTCTTGCATTTAAATGAATTTAGTTACTTTTTATTTAGTTTTATCTATGTCATCCAAATTTTGGATCTATTTCCATGCTACATAAGCAAAATTAGACCCAGAATTGTTGATGTTTCTATAAAAAAAATCCAACAAAAAAAAATAAAAAAAATTAAATGACATAATGGAACTCATCAAACATTCATTCAGGTGTTTCTTCAAAGGATTCTTAATTAGAGAAAATGTTGCTCAAATAGGTACAGTCCCATAAATAAATGTCAAACGAAATTTGTAAATGGAAAAGCCTTTTTGCCCGCGTATAACTAAACATAGTGAAAGAGAATATGTGAGAGGATCAGATTCCTTTATTAATGGCGGAGATGCCTTATCAATGCGTAGGAGGCTTATTGCAACTAATAGTTGTTGCAGTACTAATCTAGATCCAACTTATAGCAATTGGACTCCGGACGACATGATTATCCCAATCGCACCACTTAATTTCACCAAATTTGTGTGTGCCCGGCGGCATTGGTCCGGTTATCTCGAACGTCACGGTATAAGGCCTCATCTCGTTTCTTTTACGAAAAGTCAACCTATTAGGGAGAACGGAAATCTTGACTGAGTTGCTTGGTGAAGAGATGGAGACCACGTACGTGGACCAGAATGATCGGACGTTGGTAACCACTCTCTTGTGTGTAACCACCCTTGTGGTGTTGATATCAGCTGGCACTTGAACGGCGAAAGAGGGGTAGTTCAAGTCGGTCGCGTTGTATGCATTCTTGGGGTCACATGTGAAATTTTGTTTTGTGATGATCTGGATCTGCTGGGGCGTGTAGTTGAGCGCACAGAGGAAATTTAGATAGTCGTCGGGGGTAATATTGTAGACCAACCCTGGGTCAAGGGCGGGTATGGGATTCACGTGCCCTGCTCCATGATCGAATGGCGTGGACTTTTTGCCTGTGGATGCGTCTATCATGGGGTTCCCTCTCCTGTCCGTCGTGTAGGCTGTAGTCATGAGGGCCGAGCGGATGGCCGCGGGACTCCAATCTGGATGGGCCGCCTTCAGCAGAGCTGCCAGGCCGCTGACATGGGGGCACGACATCGAAGTGCCAGATATTATGTTAAAATCAACCCTGCGTGTGTCGATGCTCGACTCCGTTGGGCTCAGTGCCCCGGACCACGCGGCTAGAATGTTCACACCTGGCGCTGTCAAGTCCGGTTTCAGCACCTGGGGACTGAATGGGCTCGGTCCCCTCGAGCTGAAATCGGCGACCACCGGCGATGGCTCAACCCCAAACCTTGTCTCTCCAAATATAATTGTGGCCGTCGGGCTGCGATTCGACCACAGGTACCTCCTTATCTCGTCGCCTGCCTTCTGGCCAACATTCAAGGCGGGAAGCAAGTGAGCGTACGCCTCTACCTCCTCGCCATAAATGTTGGTGTTAGCCAGAACCATGCCGACCCCACCGGCTTTCTTGACCACAACGCCTTTCTCGAATCTACCATTTTCACCTCGGTCACACAACACAATCTTACCCCTAACCCTTTTCGGGATTAGAGTGCCAATCAGACAGAAGCGGCCGCGACTGCTGTTTTGGCTTGCTTGCCCAGCGTACACAATGGGCACTAGTTTATGGGGCAGTGAAGAACCTTCACAAAAAGATGTACTAGCGTAAGTTTTCCCGTTGCCGAGCTTGACATAGGCGGGGAAGTCTCGATCTATTGTCCCAGCGCCAACGGTGGCTATCCATGGGGCCACGTTCACTATGTTGGAGGAGTTGGGCCCGTAGTTTCCGGCAGCACAGGAGACGAAAATACCATTGGCCGCGGCGGTGAATGCACTGATGGCAATGATGTCTTCGTAAAAGGGAATCAGTGAAAAAGACTCCAAAGAGATAGACAATACATCGACTCCATCGCTAATAGCCGCATCGAAGGCCCCATATATATCGGAAGTGTAACATCCACCGACCCAGCAAACCTTGTATATGGCAACCCTTGCCCGCGGTGCCATCCCGCGCGCCATCCCGTTGGCATACCCGAGCAGGTTTGCACCGGGGACAGAGGATCCAGCCGCAATGGATGCCGTGTGGGTCCCGTGGCCTTGGTTGTCCCGCGCCGACCTGTACTCTGTTGTCCAGTTAACAGGGGGATCGGCATTGTGTTCGTAGCCATTCAAGAAGTACCTGACCCCGATCAATTTCTTGTTGCACATAGATTCATTAAAGTGGGACCCAGTCTGACATTCTCCTCGCCAGGACGTGGGTATGGGCCCATATCCCGCGTCGTTGAAACTCTGGCTCTCTGGCCAGACACCGGTGTCGATGACCCCGATGACGATGCTCTGTTGTCGAGAGTCGGGTAGAATGTACCTGTACTTGTGGTCGTAGTCCAGCCTGTCCAGGCCCAGAAATGTGGGGGTCCGGGTTGTGGAGAGCTCCAGCCTGGAGTCGGGCTGGACGGAAAGAACCCCAGCCCGCGACGCCATTAATCGGGCCTCCTCGTCTGTGAGGCTGCCTGCGAATCCATGTATCACTTGGTCGTAAGCGTAGAGCATCTTGTCCGAGCCCGACACCGACTTGAGCGTGGAGGCGTACCAATGCGTGTGGTGATTGAACTCCGCCGGCATTTCGGATTTGGACATGTGGACGATGTAAGTCTTCTTGGCTGCCATGGATACGTGGAATATAGCTACAAGCAGTACTATTCCAACCGTTAAAGCTGTGGCAATTTCCATTTTTTCCCTCATTTTTTTTTTTTCTTTTTTTTTTTCAAATTTTGTAGGCTTTGAGATGTAGAAAATTGTGTACGTATATATATATATATATATAGATGGTTCGTTCGCCTTTGTGAGTACAAATATAGCTGACTTTAAATCCAATAGTGCGTAAATTATTCAACAAAGTTCCTATGCAAATTCGCAAAAGCGCGCATGGAGAGTACTACGAATATATAATTAGTCCTAACGTCATCGTTAATCTTCTTGGGGTACGTTGTGAAGAAGTTTACTTGGTACGAAATCATCACCACGTTATGTGTCATTTCTTTGATGAGAATCTCAATTTTACGTCTAATTATTTTTTCTTGAAAATGGAATCACTTCTAGAGGTTTAAGGATATATATATGTTTGTTATCTCTATTAGTCACTTGAAGGGATGTAAAAAAAATAAATAAATTAATTAATTAATTAATTAATTATTATTAATAATAATAATAATATGTAATGATAATACAATTAATAATAATCCTCACTATATAGAAATTATATGAGTACAACAAAATTTATCGCAATTTTTTCTCTTCAAGCTAATTGTTCTGAAATCAATATTATTTTTTCATTATTATTTTGTATCTCATGAAACAAAATTCATTGAAAAAAATTAGATAAATAGTTTTAATAGCATAGTTAAGCCACTTTAAAATCTTTGTTGCTATAAGAGTATTTTATTTATATATGTACATATGCAGGGATTACCAGTTCTCTAGTAATTATATAAAATTTTAATATTAAATTCGCACATATTAAAAAAATTTCAATACAATGCCTGAAAGATAGGTAAACTATCAATTCGGGGTTTGAAAGATTTTTTTTCTCAATTCGGAACAAAAATGTTGTAAAACTATCAAATTAAGTCCTAGAAATAACAAAACCCATAACACATTAGAGTGAGAGTTTGAAATTTTTTATTTTTTCAAACGATAGACTTTCATTAATAACACATAATTACAACACATAGAACGACCAAAGCAGTCGAAACCGACATCCAAATAGCCGAGATGAGAGGACATCCCAAAGGAGTCTAAATGCCACAACACCCCCACAAAAACACCGAAAAGAAAAAGAAGCTCCTACTAGAGGAGAACCCAACTCCTACAAGAGGAGAAACAAAACTCCCAAAAGGGAGATCCGAACACAAACGAACAAAAAACCAACACACAAAATAAAAACAAAGCCAAGACAACACAAACCCACGAAACACATACTCACACACAACACACATCACTAAGAGAAAAATACTAAACTAAATAAAGCCCTCCCCTCCAGGCTACACCACCACCTTTCGCACAACCCGACAACCATCCACACGCGACCCACCGGGAAGAGACCCCAATACTACAGCCCATTCGAACCCTAGATCTGGAGCTTCCTCCGCTAATCGTAAACCCGCCCAGGCCAATCCACCACCACAGCCCCTCCACGCATGCTCTGGGGCCTGCACACGAACATGCCACCACCGCCAGAGGTCCCGACCAACCCAACACTAGGGGAGGCCGGGAAAGGAGAAAACCAAAGTCGGACCGCCACCACAAACATCCTTGGACGCCCGCAGCGACCGTCTGACACCACGCCTAGCGACCCCCGCCTCCAGCTCTCCCGCCTCCAGCTCTCCCGCCATGGCGCTTTGTAACAGTAGCGGGACCATTTCTGGGGAAGGAGAGAGAGGCGAAACGCCACCACGACTACGCCGACAGACCTAGGGTGAGCTCGATGCTCGTCGGAATCACATGAAAATGGGGCCGCCGGATGGGAGGCTCATCGATTAGAGTGACGGCCGAGGGTTTCAATTTGGGGATTTTCTGGAAGTTTGTAGAGAGAGAAATTGGAGAGTTTTAGTTAATTTGAAGTTTTAAAACACCAAATTTGTTAAAAAGTAAAAAAAAAAAAAAAATGAAGAAAAATAAGGAAAGTACGAGATTTTTGGAGAAAATTAAGGAAAGTGTAAAAAATTTGCTCGATTTTCTTGCTATCGTCCATTTTTTTTAATATTATGTAAATATTTACTTATTATTTTATGTGAGTAAACACCAATCTTTTATTTTTCTTTTTTTTTAAACTCTTAATTTAATGGTGTTATGAGTTTGTTAATTCTAAACTTGATTTGATAGTTTTATAATATTTAAGTCCTGAATTAAGAAAAAAAATCTTTCAAGCCCGAATTGATAGTTTACTTTCGGGTCTTGTATTGAAAAAACTTCTTATAAATATAAAGGTTATGTTTGTAAAAGACTAGACAATTAATGAACGTCACGGAAAATTAAAACATGATTCCCTACTATTTTCATAGAAATTTTATTTTTAAAGTACTAAAACCAATGTGTTAATCTACTATTTTCATAGAAATTTTATTTTTTAAAGTACTAAAACCAATGTGTATGTCACGGTAGGCATATAAACATGTACCCACCAGGCATATAAACATGTACCCACCATATAAACATGTACCCACCGTAGGTAGGTGAGCATTACTCCTAACACCAAACCCTTCACGGAATAAATAATTGAGATTGCACCAACAATCTAGCACCCTAATGTTTACAATTTCATTCTTAGTGAATTGCACAATTAGCCAAGTAAATTGATGACTTTATGATAATTAACATAATAACAAAATGTGTCAATAATTCGTAATTACATAACCATAAAAAAAAAAAAAAAAAAGGTCCATCGTATCAACAAGCAATCAGTTGCGACAATTACCTCATTAGCAAAATGAACAGATGCGAATACATCAGATACACCCTTCATTGGAATAAAATAACTACAAATCTTATGTAATTTGCTTCTGCAGACACTGCTATAAGTTCCATCATTTATTTTGTTACAAGAACAGACTGGACAATATAATTTTGTAGAAATTAAAGTATTATTCCTGGAGCATGAAAAAATGCACAGTGCTGGATGCAAAAAGAAATAGGCAAGAAAATTAGCTTCAAACAAAATGCACTATTTCCAGGTCTGATGTTAAGGCTCGTCTTTCATATCATAAGTTTGACCTCCTACTTGCTGCCTTTAAATGCTGAAAGAGAGAAGAACGACCTTGTTGCTGAAAGAGAGAGAGAGAGAGAGAGAGAGAGAGAGAGAGAGAGAGAAAACCAATAGTAAAATTGTGGGGGAAAATAAAAGGAAAACAAGAAAAACATAACAAGTTCAGTTCCACCAAGAAAATAAAAAAAAAAATAAATAAAATGGTTAACCTTTCGTCGTGGTCACGGACGCTGAAACTTGGCCTTGCTGCTGAAAATTTTGAGCTAAGCTCTGATCGTTGAGTTTGCTAATATTTGCATGAGCTGTAACACAGATGTTCAATTATTAACCTATGACGTCCCACGTTCATGAAGGACGAGGGAGGGAAAAGAAAAAAAGGACCAACACTCGAGAATGTGAAAGATTATGCATTTTTACAAGGAAGTCGTCTAGTGAAAATTCTCGGCAATCAACATTACTTGAAGTTGCGACGCCAACAAATCCCCCATATAATTAGTTTCTATTTTAAAAACAACCTTTTTTTTTTGAAGTATCTGCAAACAAATTCAAATATCTGAAATTGATTTTATCATCCTAGGCTGTCACAAGGGTAGATTTTTATAATTCAGCCAATTAATTGGAGTTGGGGAGAGGGGAAGAATTTTCATCAGCAGGTTCAAGTCTGAATTCCCAAATCATAAGTTAACATGAAATTACACACCAATTCAATCATACGAGAAAACTAAGCTTCAGCACGCACCAGAGTTATCATAATCAGTGGAACTCTTCTGGTGACAGTTGTTCATCGACTGATGGGTCGCTTTCCTCAGTAGATTCTCAGCATTTCTCTTACTCGTTAGTCTGGAATCATCAGCATCATCCTCCCCTTCAGAAATCAAAGACGGGCTCGACCAACCAGTTGCATTCGCCTCGTTTTTACTCTTCCGAGCAAATTTTAACAGCCTCTTTAATCCCTTCGGCGCATCTTTCTGGTAGGCCATGGCTGGTGGATTCTCAGCATTCCCCCAGTCAACACAATCGGGTTCGCTGCTCTCTTCTAGAAGCATCTGGGAGAGAGAGTGACGAACTCGAGGACTTGGCACTTCAGCTGGGGTTATATCAGCTTGTGCATCCACTACTCGTCCAATATCATGGTCAATAGGGGTTACTGAGTGATCTCCATTTTCCTCCATTTCCACCCAAGCTCTGGGAGAGATGGTCAATTCGTCTTCAGCCTCAGATTTTAGCTCGGGCTCGACCAACCGGTCAATGGAAAAATCAGTGGTGGAGCTAACTTGTCTAAAGCCTCCATCTTCACACTTGTCGAGGCTTCTAGGTGTGGTGGGTCCAGGTCCCATAACAGTTTCAATATTTGACCCTTCAATTACTTCTTCTTCATGAGGAGTCTCTGGATCAGAAGAGTTGAGAGATGGAGCATTTTCTTTAGGCGGGGTCAGATCTTTGGGTTTTCTCGACAGTTCTTGCGGATGAGACAGCTTTTTCCTGAGGGGATTAGTTCCGGATGTAATTGTTTTAGAACTTTTGCGAAGAAATGGCTTTGATTCGAGTGGAACAACACTGCTTTTCTTGGTGACCTTGCTGTACAAGCTGGGTTTTGTAGAGGGAGTAAGATCTTTAGGAGGGGTGGCTTCAACTACTTTGCTTTTTGCAGTTCTTCTCGGCTTAGTTAAAGACAGCTGCTTTTTCTCGGGATCAGTTTTCTGGACTTTCTTGCTATCATTGTGACTCGATTTAGTAGATTTTGCTCGTGCCTGAGATATCTCTACTCTCGAACTTGACTGAGAAACTGGTGGTGGTGGTGTCGGCTGTGATCTTCTACGAGTTGGAGTTGGATTTGTAGACGTTGAGGGTGGGGGTTTAGCCGGTGACAGGCCTGTTGCTCTTGTTGATGGGATCGACGGCCATGATTTACGAGTGGCAGGCAAGGAGGATGATGCTTTTGATAAGCCTTTCTTAACGACGCTGGACCTTGGACTCTTTTCTGTCTTTGAATTCGCAGGTTGAGACACACTACTCGTTACTGGATTCTGAATTTTCTTCACATTACCTTTTTTATTTTCTTCAGCTGTGTTTGTAGGGGTCAGTTTTGATTTTTTCGCATCGAGAGTTTTTTGAGTTGATCTGGGTTGCTTTCCCTTCTCTGTTTTCTTTTTAGCAGTTTGTTCTCTAAGTTTCTCCTCCCTTTTCTGGTTGTAGAGACCGTAATAACCACCTCTTTGTTCGGAAGGCAAGCTCTGTCTCTTGCTGCCAGCAGCCACATCACCGGGGCTTTTTACATGCTTGGTTTCCATCATCTTCATAAATAGCTCGTTTAGTTCTGCTTCCTTCTGGCGACTCCACTCGGTCGAGGCATTTGATTTTTCATTAACTTCAGTTTGCACTTCAGTCTCATGAGGCTCCTCTTGCTTGAGCACCGGACTACACGCCCCGTTTTCCACTGGAACATCTTCACAAGCCTCAACTGGATTACCAGATTCAAAATCAGGGGAACTTGACCTAGCTTCGGTGTTCTGGACATTATTCTGAACCTCAATACCTTCAAGTGAAGTATCTTGAGAACACCGAGAAGGATCTTCCCCCATTCCACTGCTCCATCTCCTTAGTACAGATTTATTCGCATTCAGAAGTGATTTCGCCTTCTGGACATCTCCCCTTTGATCCCTCTGTTTGCTTTCAAACAGATTTATTGCGTCCTGCACGCTCATCCTCGTAATGTTGCTCTCAGACTTTTTAGGCACTTGCTCGGATTCCTCATCACCACTATGACATTCGTCTCTAGGGAAAAATGATCTTTCTCTAGGGGGAATATAGTTGAGACTCTTAATAGTGATGGCGGTAGGACGTCGGACCCCCGACCGCCCGATTTGTACCCTCCGCATAGGGGATGCCGACCTCCGGGGTGAAGCAGATCGTACTAGAGCCCGACTTCTCTCTACAGATGTTTGTTGGTCTTGGTCACTTGAGAAAGAAGATCCATCTTCGCTTTCTGTAGAGCTTTGCCGCTCAGCTTGTGCGGCTTTTGCTGGGGAGGCACCATATTTTACGGGAGTCTCAGTAGATGAAGATTTGTTGGTTTGACTATTCAATTCTTGTGGTCCAACTTTGTTGCTCTCTGATAAACACTTACTGCTTGTACCTTGTCTGAGTTCTATGTACTTGCACAATGAATCACTGAAATGAAAATGCAGACAATAACAGGTGGTAAATAACACTGGATGGGAGGGGCAAAAAAAAACAGAATTACTGCTTTAGGGCCAGTGTACCTCAAGTCGTTTGCACCAACAAGTAGAGAGAGCTTCTGTATTTCGGTCATCTCATCCAAAGAGTATTGTGAAGCAGAAGCTTGGTCAAAAGCAGATAACAATTTTCCTCTCAGGGCAGTAAGCCTTAGGTCCATGGCCTGCAGCAACTCATTCCTGTGCGCAACAAAAAAAAGTCAACAGTACAACATTGTTCTGTTATTCAAGTAGTGGCAGACAATGTAAGAAAAAGAAAACATACTTTGAAGAATCCGAGCCTTCAACCTGCAGATAAAACCATTGACAGTAAAAGCAGTTAAAAGCAAATAAACAGCAGCCTTTGATGTAAATGGAAATAAAAGAATAACATAATACTAGTAATAGTAGAATCAATAATAACAATAATGATGATAATAATATTAATAATAAATTAATTGAAAAAACACAGTGCAATAGATTAACTTACACTTGTAGTTAAGCCTGTGCCTCCAGAGCAACCGCCTGTGGGAAAGAGACACAAAAATTAACTTGAAGGTAAGTAGTTTTATCTTGCCAATAAATGCAGCCTACAATTGGCTGGGTTCTCTTATTCCTAGGCAAGAGCATATGAACAGCAAATGTATGCATAAAATCATGATGTTTAACCTTATAAAATATCACTAGAAGCTCACTTAACATACAACTATTCACAGCAAGAATAAAACACCTCAACACTAGGATTGCCAAGACTTTTAAATCAAACTCAATTTACACAAAATTGGTAAAAACTGACCGGATTGGCTACTCTGGAGCAGATATTTACTATCCTGCGAGGAACAAAGGGGACAAGATTTGAGCAACGGCCTCTAACGATCAATTCAGGTGGAGATGAACTAAATTTACCTTCGTGTACAGATTCCGAGTTTCCTCCAGCTGAAATATCTCCGTTTTTGAAGAATTGGTAATATCCAAGATGTCTTCAGACCCAATTATATGTAAAAATCTGTGTCCCAAGAAATAGTACACTGAAAATAATTAATATGATCTCTAGTGTAACCAAAATGGTGAAAAAACATTCTAATGTTTGCCATACCTTATTAATGTAGATCTTTTAAACCATTTAATGTCATTTGAATTCTCTGGCGCAGAGAGTTTATACTTGGCATTGGATCCTTTTGAGTGCAAAGCTTTTATTTCAGCCGAATGCAGTAACAGATGCTCCAAAAGTCCAGATGACACTTTCTCGATATTGATTCCATAGCATACCCATGCCTCATACCTACCAAAGTAACTAAAAAATTTAGAACATGAGAACGTCTTATAAACATAAAGAGAAGGTTCCAAGCAACGAGGCATTCAATAGCTGCAAGAAAAGCTAAATTCTAGAGGTTCAATTATCCGAAACCGGTCACACTGCAAACCACCATAGCAATTAAAAGAAAAGGAAGAAAAAATCAAAAATAAATAAGAGAAATTAAAGAGAATTACTATAATCCTTTTCTGGATATGGCTTTTCTCACAATAAAATGGACGAAGCTCACTACACTGTGAAGAAAAGAAGGGATCACTCTTAATCAAGGAGTCTTACAGGAAATTCAGATGAATAAACAAGTTGCTAAATGAAAATTAGAGGTAACTCTACAGATAAAGAGGAAGTCACACCCCATACATTTGCAAGGAAAATAGTGAGAAACTTTATCAAATTCATAGGCATACCTGTTTTGGGACGGAAAAATTTGAAACTCTATGTAATCGAGTGGAGTACTGGCGCCTATAGCTGAATCCATCCTCACCAGTCTTATTCCCAAGGCAAACGCTCGTTCGCAGTTATTAACTACATATACTTAAAATCCACCTCCAAATTGCATAATCACCAAATCAGAAACAACCAAATGCAAAACCATAAGACATCCTTGAAGCACTTATCATCCCAGTCGTTGGTTCAACAAAATGAAACCGGCAACAAAATGAAACCTGATACGCGCAAACAAACCCATTACTTAATCAATGTTCAAAACACTGGCATCCATTTAACATACGAACAGGACACATAAATATCATGAATGTGACCCAGCTCAACCCACACAAAGAGCTCTAAATCCCGCAGCAGCACAAAAAATCAGAAGCTACAATGAAGAATCAAACCGTGCGAAACCCAAACAAAAATCAATTAACAAAAATAATAATAATAATAATAATAACTTCAAAGACCGAAATTAGGCCGAAATGTAATCAATATGACATCCAAATCACTAATTAGGCCGAAAGTGTACAGAACGTTTCTATCTTAACGGAAGGCCAAACGATAAACAGTTAAACACACGCCGCACTACCTCACGGAGATCAGATCTAGCTTGAAAATGAAAGGAACAGAACAATTGCAAAGCCACCGACAACAACAAAACCCATACTACACAAACAAATAAAACTCAACTTTACCACTAACAAGCTCGAATCCATGGTGTCACTGACAAAAGCAGAGCATCGATTGTGCATGTGCAACAGTGCAAACACAGCCAAAGCTTTATTACAATATGAATATGCAAATCAAGATCGAGAGAGAGAGAGAGAGAGAGAGAGAGAAGGTACTCACCGGAGCTGAAGCTAGAACTGAGCTAGAGAGAGAAGCGGTGAAGTGATTATTTTGAAGGGTAGAGAGAGAAACGAGAGGAATTCCGTTTGAATGTAGAGAGAGAAACTTCGGTGTGTAGGAATTAAAGTGAAGACAAAAGTATGTGTATTGAATATTGATTTCCTTTTAGAGTCCACAAGGCAATAAAAGACGGAGAGATTTGGTGGAGGTTGATAGATAAAATAATTAAAAAAAAAAAAAGGATTTCTTTTTATCTTTTTATTATTTTTATATTTATTTTTATTTTTATTTTCTTGTGATTGAGAATGATAAATTCTTTCTATAGAAGAAAACATTATTCTCAATTGTGTGCAATTAGGTATGGAAATATAAATATAATGATGAAGGTTAATCTTATTTTAGAAATTGTGAATTTTGTGTGTCAGATCTGTTAGAATTAAACGAAACAAGCTATCGGAATTCAATTTGGTTGAGCTCGAACTCACTGAAACTTGTTTAGTTAATGAGAACTCGACTACTAAGGGTACAAAGTTTTTTATCCAATTTTTTATGATTTGACTTGTTCGGACTCTACTCAGATCGTTAATCGTTATTATTGATAAACTTTATTGAGCCATTAATGGACTTTTTTGTTAATGGGCTCGGCTTGCTCTGTTGAAGAGTGGAATTTGACTCGACTAGTCAAATGTGTGAATTTGAGTACCATAAACTCGAGCATAATTTGACGCGTTTTAAACAATATCTTTTTTCTATTAGTTTTTTTTTTTTTTAATGAAATTTAGTTAGATCGAGGAGTGCTATGTTAGACTAATGAAATACAATCATGTTTAAGATTTGAAGGTAATTAAACTTAAATGTAAACGTGTGTAATGTGATGCATGCAATCTTGATTCTTGGATTTATTCCCATTACTTTGTCATCCCATAATCCCAAAAAAAAAAAAAAAAAAAAAAAAAAAAAA